CCGGCAGGGGCTGAGCAGTTTCCCATCCCGGCCGGAGAGCAGCAGAGGGGAGGGGACATGTGGTTGCCGATTCCGACCCAGGAGGGAGCGCGGGCTAGTGGTCAGAGCTAGGCGCCAGGACTCCATGTCGGAGCAAGGCAGCTGGGCCACCCGTGTCCCGCGTCGGGCGGGGCAGGATCCTCCCCCTCCCCTGGGCTGTCCAGGACCCCGACCGTCCTGACGGGCACTTACTGGTCATCGCCGACTTTCTTCACCCAGGCCATGTCCCGCTCGGACTGACTGGTCGCCAGGTCCTAGAGAACGGACAAGCTCCGTCACCCTAACCCGGCACGCACACGCTCCGGGCAGCTCAGCCTGGCCCTGGTCCGTTTCCGGTGAGCGCCCCCTCCCTTCGGAGAGCCAGCGCGGGCCGGCCCGAGGGCCTCTAGCCCCAGAGAGCTGAGCCCACTGGCTCCGTCTGTGGGTCGGTTGCAGAAGGGGCCTGGCCTCCTCCCCCAATGTCGCGACCCTAAGTATGGGCCAGCAGAGCGAGTCTGAGCGGCCCCACATCCCTGCACCCAAGATAGGACCCCAGGGGCATGAAGCCGAGAGCTGCAAACTCCCTATAGCCCTGCCTCAGTGCCCTGGCTGGCGGCTCAGAGCCGAGGAATGGGAGGGCAGGGGGGTCTTGCAGCCATCCCGGGGGGCTCCCAGCAAACAGAAGCCCCGCTTCCACATGCCAAGCAGAGCGAGTCTGAGCGGCCCCACATCCCTGCACCCAAGATAGGACCCCAGGGGCATGAAGCCGAGAGCTGCAAACTCCCTATAGCCCTGCCTCAGTGCCCTGGCTGGCGGCTCAGAGCCGAGGAATGGGAGGGCAGGGGGGTCTTGCAGCCATCCCGGGGGGCTCCCAGCAAACAGAAGCCCCGCTTCCACATGCCAACCTGGTCCCCGTCCAGAGCTGGAGGAATGATAGGCCACAAGGCCCGATCCTGCAAGGTGCCTAGGGTAGGATCGGGCCCCCGAACCCCCCTAC